GGAGGGGACCGAAGTGGTGTTCCCGGAGCCGCCTCTGTTCAGTGCGACGAGCATGCCACCGGGGAGCGTGGTCGATGTGGCCGACCGCGACAAGCAGTCGCAGATGTGGGCCGACGTGCTGCGCGACATGGGCGGCCGCTACGCTCCGCTCGCCAAGTTCGCCCTGCCCACTCTGCCTCCCGGCGGCGGCGACGAGGAGGACCAGGAGAGCCTTCACGGAGATGAAGGTGACGACGAAGATGAAGACGACGAGCGCTGAAGGCAGATGCCACCCAATGTACATACAGTGAGCTTGATCACCTTGTTTATTGCACACACCGCGCAGTTGTACATGGCAGCACTTTACAGGGCTTCCCTGTGGTGAACGAACTGCACACGCACCACCGACACACCGCATGAGTTGCCACTCTTCAACGACAGAAAGAGAGAATGAGAGATGTCGCACCTTGATGGAGGGCTCGAGGGCCTCGAGCTCCTGGAGGATGGGCTCGTAGAGCTCCTTGATGATGGGGATCTGGAGGCCGGGCGTGGTGAACTTACCCTCGAGCACGAGGCGGATGGAGATGGCGACGGGGAGGGAGACGGTCCTGGCCATGGACGAGTCGCCGTTGGGGAGGCCATAGTCGATGAGCGTGCAGGTGATCTTCTCCTTCTTGCCCTCGGGGTACTCGGCGATGAAGGTGTGCTTCATCAGCAGCATGTCCCGCTCGCCGGCGCTGTACTGCATCTTGGTCTCCATCTTGTGGCACAGAGCGTCGAGCCTGGTCTTGATCTAGTGTGTGCGGTTGTGTGTGTGTGTGTGTGTGTGGTGCGTGCGTGCGTGCCGGTTAGCTCGTGGTCGGCCTGCCAAGGTACTGGAGCAAAGCTTGTGGGGCCGAACCTTGGCGGGGATGGGCTCCTCCTCGAACAGACCGAGCCATTCGGCGGTGGAAATCACGAACTCCTTGGAGGCGTCGAGCTTGAGGAACGCGCGCACGTCGCTCTTCAGGGCCTCCTTGTCGGCCGCCTGTGCGCCAACAGCAACCGTCCATCAGTAACCGTGCGCACACGAGAGGGCTGCGCCATTCGTCATGAACGCAGCTGCCGTGCGTGATGAGTGGTATACCTGGCTGTTGATCATCTCACGCAGAGCCTGCGCGTAGGTCACGCCCTGGAAGTTGCGCTCGGTCAGGTCGAGGAAGCCCAGATCGGCGCCGAGCTTCTTCACGGTGGGGCACCAACCCTTGTTCCTGTAGGTGCCACGGATCATGGTCTGGGTGGTGGTGATGCCATAGACGTCGATGTACTGGAGCGAGTTACGGTTGGGGTAGGTCTCGAACTCGGAGCTGAGCTCGGGGATGTAGTCCAGGTGGAAGCTGTCAAACAGGTCCTTGCCCTGAATCTCCTTCTTCTCGCCTGAGCAACCGTGACGTCAGCGTTGATAGCTCTTGGCCTTTGTAGCTGAAGCTGAAGAACGAGAGGAAAGTGTGTAGTGTACCGTCCTGAAGGAAGATGGCGTTGTTGGTGGAGGCGAGCAGCACACCGCGGGCGGACCAGCTGAACTTGTAGCCGAGAGGGTTGTTGTTGCTGTCGGGCGCCGGGAGTCCACCGCAGTAGGAGGTGAAAGAGAGGATCTTGCCACCCTTGGACTTGACGTCGTCGATGATCTGCATGGCGCTGGGAGAAGCGACACAAGCGGAGAGTCAGCGATGACACTAGAGAGGACCCGGCTTCGACTTCGGCCTCGGTGGGCTACGCAAGTGGCGTGAACGTTCGGCACTACGAAAGAGAAGAACCGTACCTCATGTGGTCAGTGCCAGGGTCGACACCACACTCGTTGATGAAGACGAGGTTCTTGGCCTTGGCCTCTTCGTCGAGCTCCCTCATCGCCGGGCTTCATAAAAGCGAGGAGAGAAAGAGTAGTGAGAAACAAATCAATCGTAGAGCGGCAGTGATAATCGGAGAAATGGGCTCACGCTACGCGATGGAAGATCTTCCCAATTGAAATAAATGATGGAGGAATTGTGAGTAGTACCTGACGTAGGAGGTGGTGAAGAAGTGCTTGTTGTGGGCGAGAGCCCTCTTGGCGAGGAACGGGTGCAGGAGGTAGGGCAGCAGCGACACGACGGCATCGGCAGAGGGCAGGAGGGTCTCGAGGATGGCTTTGCCCTCATCAGTGTCGACGTCGCACTCGACGGCCTTGGCGCCCGAGATGCCCTCGACGATGTGCTGCGCCTTGGCCAGCGTCCTGGAGGCGACGACGACGCGGTAGCCGTGCTGGGTGAGGTAGGGCACGAGCGGGCGCACCACCATACCGGCACCAAGAACCAACACTTCCTTGCCAGAACCCGACATTATGTTATCTTTCAGAGATGGAACTTGAGTGTTGTGCGGTCGCGAGATCGAAGCAAAGAACCAGTGCTCGAGCAGCCGGCCTTTTGCCGCCGGTAGCGGAGTTGTCCGTCCCTAGCATTCCTCACTCTTGCTTAGAATTTAATGTGCGAGCGCGTATGAAATGCACGCATATTTCGAATAACAACTCGCTTGCGCCAGGTTGGGTGCAGAGAGGCAAGGCGGTTGGGCTGGTGGGACCACGGCAAGGGCACAGGGCTCATAGACAAGGAGCGTGCTGCCAGCAACGGCACACGCTCAGGGGCAGGAGATGCCGAATGGCAGAATGAGCAAGCCGGTTGGTGTGCGCTTTATGGTACAGTGATTATGTTACATGATCGCCAAACGGAGAGGTTAGAAGGACTCGATGCGGTCCACGACCTGGGCGAAGGTGGGGCGGACCTGCGGTGACTCGTGCCAACAGGACTGCATCAGCTGCACCCACCGGGCCGGCCAGTGGTCGGGAATCTCCGGCCGAAGCTGGGTGGAGGCCACCGCCACGGCGGCTTCGAGGCGGCTGAGGTGCGCGTAGGGCTGGCGTCCGCTGAGCAGCTCCCAGAGCACAATGCCGTAGCTGTACACATCGACGGCCTGGTCGTAGGGCTGGTGTCGCAGGATCTCGGGCGCGGTCCACTGCGCACTGCCTACGCACGTCATGGTCGCGGTCTCTGTGGTGATGCGCGACACGCCCAGGTCGGCGATCTTGGCGTTCCCGTGCTCGTCGAGCTGTGTAGAAGAACCGAAACGTACAGTGAGTCGATGACGATGACGACAACGCCTACGCAAGAGGGGGAGCAGAGGCGTACCAAAATATTGTGGCTTTTGATATCGCGGTGGATGACCTTCTGCTGGTGGAGATATCGGCCGCCTCGGGCGATGTCCAGCGCGATCGAGGTGAGGCGAGGCTCGTCGCCCAGCAGGCCACCCTGCTGTTGGCGCAGATGATCAAACAGGCTCCCGCCGGCCATGAACTCGGTCACGATACACCGCGGCTTGGTGCACACTCCGATCATCTTCACCACATTGACGTGGTCCAGCTTACTGTTATTGTTGGAGGTCGTAGGTTAGTTGTACCTGTCAGCCGAAGAGACGAACAGTGGTGGTGCGATAGTGGTAGCGTACTTGAGCAAGCGGACTTCCTGCTTGAAGTGCTTGAGTTCGTTCTCGTCGTCTCGTCGGGCCTCCTTGCGCAGCTTCTTCACTGCGCACGGGACGCCTCGCAGGGTGGCCCGGAGCACCTTGGCGAAGCTGCCGCGACCGACCTCCTCGGCGAGTTCGAGCTCCTCGTAGTCGATAAGGTGGGCCTTGAGCGGAAGCCGCACGGTCGAGGCCATCCACACGTCGCCCGACAGCGTGGCCGCGCCCTTGCCGCCCACCACGACCAGCATCGAGCCCAGCCGCGTGAGCGTGTGGCTGCTCAGCCCGAGCACGCCCTCGTTGTTCTCCTTCATGCGGGTCCATCGCTTGGTGTCGACATCGAACGACCAGCAGTCGTGGACCACGCCGCTCGCGGCCCTGCCGCCGACGATGAACACGGCTGCTCCCGCGCGAGCCGAGGCGTGGCTGTGGCGTGCCGGCGGGCAGAAGCCGGGTTGCGGGATGACCGCCGACCAGACTCGGGCTTCCAGGTCGAGCACATGCGTGTCGCTGAACGTGTGCTTCAGGCTGGTACCGCCAAACACAACCAAACTCGAACCAACTGTCGGCATAGGAATGAAAGGAATGCGAGTTAGCCCAAGATAACGGCTTTTTGGGCGGTGCAACTGGGATCGGGCGCGTACCGATCGTGGCAGTGTGGAAGCCACGAGGAGACGGAGGGACGCCCTGCGTGGGCCTCGTAGACCAGGTCATGCGCTCTGTGAAAGGATTCAGAATGAGCTGATATGATCAGCAAACACCCAGCCACGTGTGGTGGGCGGTACCGATGTCGAAGGCATAGAGGTCGTTGCTCCACTGCTTGCCGTTGTGCCCGCCAAAGAGAAGCAGATCGTTGCCGTATCGGGCCAACGCATGGCCAACCCGCACAAAGGGCGCCTTGCCCTCGATCTCCTCGCCCGCCGCAGCGTCAAACCGACAGATCGACCACCGCACCTCACCTGCGAACAAGAGAATTCGAAGCGCGCAGTGTCAATACGCATTTCCTATGGGGCTGGCAGCAATACGTAAGCCACCCCAAAGCAGAAACGTACTATCGCTTTCCAGGTCAAGTCGGTAGATGTTGGACGAGAGGCCATTCTGGTCGTACCCGCCCACCAGGTAGAGGGTGCGGCCGACGCGGCACGCGGCGTGGCCAAAGAGGCACGCCGGCGCGGGACCGGTGGCGCGCGGCAGGGACCACTCCATGGTTGCGGTGTCGAGCAGACGCACGGCAGCTGTGCCCCGGCCGGTCGCGTCCTTCCCGCCGACCACCACGAGCGTGGTCGAGTCGCCTAGCGCGGTGGCGGTGTGCGAGAAGAAGGGCAACAGCAGCCCCTCGGCCTCGGCACCGCTCACAGCGCTGCTGCAGCACTGCCGCCGCTTCCAGTCGAGACACTCTGTGCGAACCCCGCAAGAAAACTTGTCAGCAGCGCACCACCACACACACACACGCACACACCACACACGATGACGTGTCGCATTACCCTTGCCGAGAACCTCTCGGTCGGCGAGGTGGCGTTCAAATCGGACGAGGCCGCGCTTGACGTGCTTGGTGGTCCACAGCTTGGAGATCTCGCGGCGCACACGGCCCTTCGTCTCTTCCCACTTCGCCGCTGTCGACTTACGCGCTCCGCCATCGCCGTTCTTCTTCGTGTTCTGGCTGCCATCGTCGTTCCTCTTCTGTTCGCTCTTCTTCCGTTCGTTCTTCTTGCTCAGTTCCTTCTCCCTCTCTCGCCTCATCTTGGCGTTCCTCCGCTTCCTCCGCTCCTTCTTCATCTCGTTCGAACGTCGGAGCACCTCGCCCACGTACTCACTTCCCACCTGCACCTCCTCTTCCTCCAGCACTTCCGCCTCCACTTCCCCTTCATCACCTTCGACGTTGGCCTGCGTAGTCTGTACAATCGGCTCCGCGGCTGCGCTCACCGCGTCGCTCTCGGACGAAGCTGAAGAGCCCAAGGCCGACGTGGAGGTGGTGGAGGTGGGCACCGCTGCCGTTGAGTCGCTGCTCGATGTTGATGTTGATGATGAGCATCTCGTAGAACGACGTTGGCTACCGTGGCCGGCGGCGGCATTACGGCGTCGCCTGCGCGCCTCCTCGAGCCAGGCCTCCTCTACGGCGTGCTTGAGGCGCTGGCCCTGGGCCAGGTCGGTGAAGTGGGCCACCTTCATGTCGAAGGGCCACTGGGTGGGGTCCACCTTGGCCCACTTGCCCCGCCTCCGCCTCGTTCGCTTCTTCTTCCTCTCCTCCTCTTCCATGAGCGAGCCCCAGTCCTGGGTAGTAGTATTACCTTGGCGTTGATCGCTGCTCTGCAGATGCTGCTGGTGGCCTCTTCGTCGTCGCGGGCCTCGACGTCGGCGGCCGCCCAGGAGCGATGCGAACGATGGCCGTTCGGTGACAGCGGCCGCGGCGGCTGAGAGAGCATCGATGAGCGTCTCGAAGTGGGCCACCTTGCGCGAGAGAGGAAGGTCCCACCATTCCACGGCAGACGCCTCCTGTTGCTGCGCCCTCGGTGTTCCAATCTTTCCCATCTCGTTGGGGGGGGGGCGTGTTTGCAAAGGCAGGGCCACTACTCGAAGTTTAGATTGCTCTTGAGCTTTGTGGAGTTTTGTGCTGTAGGAGGGAGTTGCTTCATGTTGCCAAGCGGTAGTACCACACGGTCTTGAAGTGAAGATGAGCCTCATTCACTGAATTGGACAAAACAAAAGGTTTTTCCTGCAGCAGCCAGGAGCACTCTTGGCTGCTGCAGGAAAAGTTGTGTGGTCCCTATGTGGGTGCTTTGGCTGCCAGCAGGGAATGGACATTGCAATGGCCCCAAGTCACCTTTCTATCCTTCATCAGCTGACACACTCACAATGGTGGACTGAGAATTGGAAGAGGAAAGTCTGGCAGAAAAACAGGCAAGCGTTGTTTGTACAAAGCGTGGTGTGGGTACAGCACTCTCCACTCTGACGATGATCAGTGAGGGAGTACAAGCAGAAGACCAAGTGGGTAACTGTTTAGGCCCTGTCACGGTACTTCTCAGCAAAGTTGAGCACGGCCATCACCTGCAAGCAGACAAAAGAGAAACCAAGAATGTAAGGACGCTCAAGTCGCTGCAGTGCACCCAGCAAGGATGACGCACCTTGTAGTCGGACTTGTGCTCGCCAGCGCCAATGCCGATGGCGCCCCAGCGGGGGTCGAGGAGCACGCGGCGGTAGGTGCGTGACTGGTCGCCATCGCCGATGAGGAAGGAGAACACCATCGCTCGACCGTTGCGTCCACCGTAGCCACACACCTCGGCCGAGTTACCAGTCACGTAGCCGCGATCGTCCATGAGGTCCAGCGACGTGGGCAGCTCCTTGCCGTCGGCCGTCACATTGCCCACAGTCCTGGGGCGTGGCATGTGATCAGGAATGTGCAATGCCGATTCATTCAATGGCTGAGTAAGAGTGTGGATGGGGGATGGTGGGCGGGAGTGAGAGGTACCCGCTGGCTCCCTGCGTGGCGACAGCGTCGCGCGCGGCGAGGGACATGCCGTAGGAGGGCACCACCTCGGACAAGGTGTTGGCCGGTTGGCTGCGCAGGAAGGCGATGGCAGCCTCGCACGCCGCCTTGCCCTCACGCGTCCGCGTGAACGTCTCATTGTCCACCTTCAGAGTCGTTCCATCCGCCTCATACATCGGCAAACGCTCCTACAGCAAATATGATAAATCAATCAATTGACAAAATAAAATAGTGATTATATGAAATTCAACGAGCGTTAGGGAGGGAGAGGGGGGGGGAAGCTGTCGCACCTGTTCGAGAAGGGTGGCGTAGGCGGGCGGGTCGCGGCGCAGGGCCTGGACTTCTTTGAGGAGCTCGCTCTCGAGCGGGGTGAAGAGGAGCTGCACTGGCGTAGCGGGCTGAGCGGCCATTTTGTTGATCGAGAGAGAGTTCAAATGCGCTAATCGACTCGCGTTCGTGTGAGTGTCAAGGGCGAGCTGCGCGACCCACTACTTTGGTGGAGTTGGTTCTCGTCGCCTCACTGCCGCAGACCACTGCTACGGGCCTGCGGGCTCTTCATTGGCTGCCCTTTCCTGCCCTTTCAAGAATGTG